TCAGTTTTCCCTCCAACATTTGCCGGTTGGAATGATTGCTCTCTGGTGTTGTTTCAAAATCTTTTCAGCTGCCTCTGTCGACTTATGTTATTTCCTCAGACACCTCTTTCCTTTAGCATCATCTCACTTTATTTGTTTGTCTGTTATCAGTCAATGTGGCATGTGAGGCATTGCAAATCTCCTCTGGAATGTTTAGAGTGACTAGTTCAAGCTTTCATCTTGCTTCTGCCGAGATGAGAGGCTTTAGCTTACTATCTAACATCTGGAATTCCATTCTTGACATAGCTTTAGGTTCTCAAATGAATTATTCCTCTTGGGGTGAGCATCATTCCATCACAGAGCCTCAACTTTACCTTTGAGGGTTTCATTTTTGGATTGCCATCTGGCGTAACTTTAGGTCTGTAGTGCTCATAATGTTGAAAGAAGATCCAGTGTTGAATGGGCACTTCACATTCCTCTGATGCCTTTGTTCTGCTGTCTTCATCTCAATAATTAGAAACCATTTTTCTCCTTCAAACTTGACTTTGTCAATCTGCTCTTAAGTGTAGATTGACTTATTCGAATCTTGTCCGCCATCTCTCGAGCATACACACTTGATTTGTCAGAATCAATGTCCAACATCTCTGTAACAATTGTTTGTATAGGCTTGTTTGTTTTCTTTCTAGGTAATGATATTTAAAGTGGTTTCGCCTTCTGGTGTTAAAACACTATTTTCCCAAAATGGAGAAGCTTTCTTTTGTTTCATATGATGATCTCTGTAATATTTACAACTGGCCCTTTGGCTTTCATCTTTCTGATGGTCCTTCTCTGGATATCTGTTGCTTTTCTCCATATTGTTGCTCTTGAAAAGTCAAGGCTACATTAGGAATAGGGAAATCTGAAACAAACTCAGACTCTGAAGAAGAGTCATAATAAATTTGACACATTAACTCTGTTTCTCTCTCCAGAGATGCTGCCAGACGTACTGAGTTTCCCCCCACATTTTCTGATTTTGTGCTCTAACACACCTGTTGTCCCATGATGTGCTGTAGCTGTTGATTTACATGCCCAGAGCTTCTGCAAATGTTTTGAGCTTCAAGAGTCAGATTGTCTTCCTGTATTAGTCATGGTATCATGGTAGAATTTCTTTGCCTAAGATAAATCCATTTTTGAGGAGACCACCTTTCCGGTGATTGGCTAAGTCACAACTATGGCTGTAAACTCCCCTTTTCTGGCTCCAGTTGAAATGAAAGGTGATACGAAACAGAACTGACAATTCTTTCCACTCATAATGACAAAACTACTACGTTATGACAAATTTAAGTGACAAACTACAGTAGCTACACTTTTCCACCCAAAATCTCTCTGAAGAAATTGTTTAGAATTTTTGTCAATCATTTTGAATCTATTATCTTTGGTTATTGACACTCCCACCAGAAAGCCTTTATTAGGTCACCTCTTAATATTTGTTTCCAAAGAAAATAGTGCAAATATTTGGAACCTTTCTTCATAAGCGAATTTCCTCATCCTTCATAACATCCTGATTATATTCCTCAGAAGTCTTTCTAAAGACCTTTACATCCTTCCTGAATTCTGGTTTCCAGAATTATTTATCCAACTCTAGTTAAGGCTTAACAAGCAATTTATAAAGCTCAAGCATGAACTTCTACTTTTTCTTTCCTCACTCTATTTATAAACCCAAGTAATTAATATACTTTTCAAAACCAGCTTATTGACTCATCCTACTACTTTTCAGGAACTGTGTATGTGGATACCAAGGTCTTGCTGTTCATCCACATATATTTTTTTTTAAAATCCATGTCATTTGCAGTGTCCTGTCTTTCCAGGTCAGGATCTTATATGGACCTGAATGATGTGATCTAGGCAACAAATGTGGCAGAATCATGTGAGAAATCCAGCAGGACCTATCTCAATGTCAGGAGAAACTACAGCATCTTTCAACTAAGTTCCAAGTATCAAGGCAAGATTCTCCCTAGGCAGTGGCAAGTTACTTCTTAAGGGAGATCATTGTTTGTTAGTAGCTGTATTAACTACACATCTCACGTCTTTCATACGCAGCTGTCTATCCCGCCACCAGCCTCTAGCAACCTAGGTGCTGAGAATTCTCAACATGGAAACCACAGCAGATACCTGGTAATTTCAGCTCACAGCTTGCTCCAAAGGACCTCCATGTTAGACATTGGGCACCACATCTCAGGGCACACTCTGTGAGCACCAGCCACATACATTCCACATCCAGAAACATAGGTCTCTGACAAGTGCCAAATTCTCAAAACCCTCATGGCACATCTCTGATCCGCTTGCTGTGTGCGTCTGCACTTCAATACTGCACCTCCGGTCACAATGGCAACTATCATTGCATTGCTGTAGCAGGGACCCTTTGCACTTAGGGACACGTACCTAGTTCATTGACTGGCTCAGGCTGCATATCTGGCCCGTTTGCTTGCCGTTTACTGCTCATGCCCTTCAACCCTATCTGGATACTCAGTGCATTTTCACTTTGTGGTATCTTGGCTTTTTGCGCATTACTACCCAGCCTTAGACACCAGACCTAAAGTACGGCAGTATTTCCATGCCAGTTAAAGCAGATGCAAAGCCAAGAAGATTGGCATGGTTGTCAGCAATCCTCAGACAAGTCAAGGGAAGGAATAAAAACAGAAGTTGCTGGAAAAGCTCAGTGGGTTTGGCTGTATCTGTGGAGAGAAATCAGAGTTAATGGTTCCGGTCCAGTGACCCATCCTCAGAACTGATGGTAGTGAAGAAAAAGTTGTTTTTTTATGCAGGCGACGTGGCAGGGGGTGGGGGGTTTAAGGAATAGATGATAGGTGGAAATTGAGCCCTAAGAAAGAGAAGAACAGTTGGACAGACAAAGGATAACAATCAGGCAAGGAAAATGAATAGCTATCAATGGGGACTGTAATTGGCTAACAATGGGTTGTGTGTTATAGCAGACCATGTGATAACAAGGCCTGGTCTATGGGGGTTGGTTAAGGACATGGGAAAAACTCAAGCTCTAAGCTTGTTGAATCAATATTGAGTCCAAGCAGAAAATGTGGTGCTGATTTCCCAGCTTGCCCTGAGCTTCACTGGAGCGCTGCAGCAAGCTTGTGGCAGAGATGTTGGCCAGGGAACAAGGTGGTGTAGTAAAGTAGTGGGCAACTGGAAGCTCAGGGTATTTTTTTGTGGACAGGCAGGAAGTAACCTTCTGTCAGTATGTCCCAGTACAGTAAGCCAAGGGCAGCCTCCAAAACCTGTCCAGGAAACTTGTCACATCAGTCAGCCATGCAGGGCAGTCAGAGTCAGGATGCACTCCTCATAAGGACTGAGGAGCCAAATGTCAGGCAAGCCACCACCCTTTGGACTCATTCTGTCCGATTATGGGCTGTTTTCTCCTGGAATGAGAAGAAGCAGGTATTAAGGGAGATGAAAATGGGCAGCACAGCTGTTAGTGCTGGTGCAGATGAGGAGGTGTCTGAAGCGAGTCAGAAGGCAATGCAGAGGGCATGCAATGTTTGTGGTGTCAGGGAGTGAGTGGCTGAGAGTGAGTGAAGGAAGTTATTGCAGGCAATAGTGAGTGTGCGAGCATGAGCCTTGGATGGCAGAACATACAGAGACAGAGGGAGTGTGAAGAATCAGACAGACAAGATGGTGGCACATACACATGCTAAACACAGAAGGTCATTGATGGGGCATTATCAGCCACGTCCAGGGCAAATGTCAGAACCATGCAAGGCAGCTCCAGACCAACAGTGTTTGTCCAGATGCACAAGGCCTTTTAAAGATGATACCAGCACCAGGAATACTGGTTAGTTACATGATATCCTAGTAGCGGCAAGTTGTTTCCAGGACAGTGAATGATAAAGTGAGGCTAGAATCAGGGCAAAAGGGACATCATAGTGGTGGGTAGATAGTTAATCAGATGGATTTGGTAAGAAATGGTGAGAGTTCTCACTTGGGCACATGGACAGAAACTCTCCAAAAACCTTAATGAAACTGACACTTTGCCAAAATATTATAATCTTTAGTGCATAGTAAATACGTTAATGAATCCTACTTGGTGGATTTTTTTTACTTGATTCTTCGTTCAAAACAATTAGTGTCTGAAACCATCAACTATTCAGCTAACAGCATCTAATGCTGATTAGCAACTGTGCAGAAAAGAAAACAAAATCATCAGCCTCAGGTATTGTTTGCAGATGATATTAATTTCTGTTTATAAAATATTTTTCAGCACATTATTTTCTGTACTGTATCGCTGATCAAATACAAAACAGAAACTTGCCCAGATGGTTAACATAAGCTCAATAATGCAACACTCATTGTTACAAAGTCATAACAACAATTTAGAAAGTTTTCATTTTCTTTTGACATCAGTGAGTACAAATTTGCACTGGCATAGCAATCAAACCACTAGTCTTAGAGGAAATTTTATCAGGTACAAGACTTGTACTATTATTGTACCATTATTTATTAAGAATAATGGCATAAAGCAGATATGTTCCCACCCCAGGCTTCTACAGCCTGTTATGAGCGATCACCTTTGTTTATTTTGGCTTTAGAAAGCTTAAATTGCAGCTATGCATGAAATTGAAATTGAAGTTCCAATCACAAGTGCCAATCATACTCGTTCTAATTGACTCAGTCTTTGAAATTCAGCATTTTAAGCAGACATATGCACAATGTTCATCTCAAATTACACCAAATAACACCAACAACAATATAAATAAATTAAAAATACAGAGCTGCAGCTAATTTTTATCTGTTAGCACAGACAAACTTAAATGACACCCATCAATAGCATTAACTGGACCAAGCAAGTGATTGCAAAACTGTATTTGAACATCTGCTCTAATCCACTGAAGAATCTGCAGCAAATTTCATATAACAAGGAGCAGATTGTGGGCCAATTGCTTCCATCAGTGAGCTGCTTAATCCAACTAACTAAAATGCCTAAGGAGCAAAGGCTGAAGAAAATACATTACAAGGAATTAAGGACTTACGGCAGCCTCTTTCATCAATTTTGTCTGTGCAGTCGTCGACATGGTCACACCTGTATTCACTTGGGATACATTCTCCATTGGTGCAAGTATACTGTTCGCTAGTGCATGTTTTTGCAGCTACACAGTGAGGAGAAAGAAATGTATGTCAAAAAGAAGAATTAACTTTACATTCTTAAAGATTTAAATACTATTCAACATTGTTTGTATGTTCACATTTAGCAACAAATTAAGCCCATTCGACATAAAATGTAAACAACAAGAACAACTTGTCCTGGACACTGTTCATGTCAGTTGTATACAGTAATTTACCACAAATTACACATCACTAAATCAGTTAAACTAAGTTCCTGATATACAGGCTGCATTTGAATCATTTGTCCTTCTAGCATGTACAACGGTGCACTGGACACATTTTTTTCCCCCTGTGTGTTCAATTTCTATCTTATAACTATGTATGCATTGGCCTGAAATATTTTCTATTTGCTTGTATGTAAAATATATTTGCACAGGAAGGATTGGACTTGCAGTCATTAAGGAAGGTGTTGATACCACCCGGAGAACAGAAACGGGGTGGCCACACCCCAGAAATGCTGGAGATTGGCTTAACCTCCTTGTTCTTTCTGTCATTGTGACCTACGTCTTTTTTTCCCAAGGTCCTCAGATAATCTCAAGCAAGTTCCCAACTCAGTTAGTATTTAACTCTAGATTCTATGATATTAAATTGTATTAGGATCCCAATTAAGGTTCAACTAGGCAGCTCTCTTATACAAGACTGTCTCGGTTGAAATTATTAGGTGAGTGCGAGAATTGATCCAGATATGATCTAAGGCAAAGTTTTTAAAAATTAGATTCTCAGATGTAAGAGAGTTGATTTACTTCTTAAATTTGTTGAAATTCCAAATCAATGCAGCACTTGAAATCTGACCTAAAAGTAGATCCGTGACAAGATTATAACATTACAAGCGGCACAACTTATAACAAAACAATTAGAATTCCTTTACACTTGTTCAAGCATTGACACTTCTGCTGAAATGGATTTATGACCCAAACTTCTGTCCACTAGACTTTGTACAATCACAAAGACCAAGGCTGTAATATTTGTCTTGACAGAGAGTATTTCTGTTACAGTAAAAATGCTGGTAGAAGGTAGAAATCCCAAGAAATACCACCACCGACCACCTCCCCCTCTCCAAACTCCATCTTCCTCCCTTCCATACCCACACGTTGTATTTCTCACTTTTGTGGGAACAGGATTGGGGGAGGGGGTGGTGTTGTTCATGCATGTACAGCTCCCAGAGGTACTGGTCATTTAAATCACAGCTGCTCCATTTATACCATAAGATGGAGGTGCTGGTATTAGACTGGGGTGGATAAAGTCAGCGGTCACACAACACTAGGTTATAATCCAACAGGTTTTTTTTTGAAATCACAAGCTTTTATAGCATTGCTCCTTCTTCAGGTGAAGTTGATTTTGGAGTGCCTGGTGTCTGAAACTTGGAGCGTGGAGATTAGACTAGGTAAGAGCAGGTCTGTTCTCAGTGCATTTCTTTTGGATGGTTAATGTACCACTTTGGAGAGCTCAGTACCTCTGCAAATATGGTTCCAAGACACCTTGGGAGCAGGGGCAAGGAATGGGGGGGGGGGCGTGCAGATCAGGCATACTTTTAAACTATTAACTATGGAGAAGACTGTTTGTAACAAGTGCATAAAGTCCTTGAAACTGTCCAACTTCTGAAGGTCAGTCAAAAAAATCATCAATAAGCGTCTCGCAGTGTGAACAAGTGTCAAGATCTGTTTTATGAATGACAGTAATTCCTTTATAGAGTGCACAGTCTACAATATGAAACTTTAAGTAGTAGAATTATAGCTTTTTTTCTCCTCTGTACATGTGAATTTGTGGATACTCAAGGTGGCAAAGTAGGTGAAGGGAGAATGCTGGTGATTGGAAATAGGCACTCAGTTGTCATAGGGCCATTTGAGGTAGAGAGGCATAGAGTGGTGTGGGAGAACATGTAAGGTTATCATGACGGGTACAAAACAGTAGGTTGCATGGATTCACATGGGTAAGGAGTGTGTGAGGTGAAGAATTCGCATTAGGAGTGTGTGAGGTGAGGGATTGTGAAGGATGAGGGCTTGAGGAATGATTTGTATTTTTCACCTTTTGGAGAGGTAAGGTGTGGATATGGTTTGTGGGGGCAAGACATACTTTGCTGGAGTTAAGGCAGCCCTTGGTGGATATAACGCACTCTTTAGGATTCTGAAAAGACATTCTTGTGCTCAAGAAAAGCATAAGCCCATTGGGACAGCAAAAAGTAGAACTGTCTAATAACAAAATTAAAAAGAAAAGCAATAAGTATTTCAGAGTGCCTGTTCACATAAGCCATTGCAGAATTTGCATTGCAAACTTAGTTAGTCCCCAAACTAGTGAATGTTTTATTCGTGTATGGAATGTGGATGCTACTGACAGAGCCAGCATTTATTGCCCATCCCTAAGTGCCCGTAATGTTTGCCTTCCCAAGGGTTTAGTTAAAGCAATTTCCATGTACTTGATTTTTTTCCATGAATGAGTGTGTTTTCTTTCAAAAGTGATATCATAAATATACTGATAACTTTATTTTCTGTTAGGATGCCTCCTGATTTATGCCCATCTTCGATAGTAGATGAACCAATATAGAGAGTAAAAGATAGAGTGATTCCACTGAGTTGGCATAGGGCTATACCAGCATATGGAGCATGGGCAACATATGGAACATGTGGAGCATGGGCAATGAAGAAGTTAAGTTGGCTTGGAATTTAACAAGGGCTATAGGGAATGGGCATAGGCAGGCACAGGCAATGAGAGATCATGCAGGATGGTACAACAGCATAGGTAGTTATAGGTTAGTATGAATGGGGTATGAAGGTAGTGAGCAGGTGAGAACAGGAAGAATATTTTATGTTTTAATCTTTATGTTTTAAATTTTGAACAGATTACTGGAGTTCCCAGGCTGGATAGCTGCCCAGCCCACCTTGGGAAACTTTGCTTTGTCTAGGTTGCCTGACCTGATTAGAAAACCAGCTCACTCCTTTGGACAAAATAGTACATATGGGTTGCCATTTTAAAGGTTGGGTTCACAAAACCAGGATTTCCCTTGCCTCTGTTCACATGACTCAAGAATGAAAATCAGGGCACAACACTACTAATAATTTCTTTTAAAATGTAATACAAATAGCTTATTATCTTTTTTGACCTTCAACAAATGACACTGATCAAACTAAACAATTGATAGCATTACTCTGAAAGTGATTCCTGCTGTTGTTGATGTGACTGAGTGCATAACTGATTTCAGACACCAGGTTTGTAGCTTATACAAAAGACTTAGTAATTTATTATAAATAAATTAAACAACAAAATAATCTAATAATGTTTTTGATTTAAAAACAGTAAGCTTTATTTTCAGCCCCATTCACACAAAAGGCAAACAGTTAATGAACAAATTTAAAAAAAGAAAATAACTAAGAGGCTAGATTATTTAAGCGGTTTTCACAATGCATTATTCCACAAGCATGTGAGAGTTACTCAGTTGATCTTCTGAAGATGTCTATCAGTGCCACCTTTTCAGTTCATTCTGAGAAAGTTTCAACAATACTCATAACTTAGTTTCTATTCTCCAAACTTCCAATATCTGATAATGGGAGGTAAGGCAGGGAGCTTTTAAATCTTCATGCTGCAGTATCAATAGTCAAACTCCTTTTCTCAGAAATCCTCAGTTCAAAACAGTTCAAAAGCTCTGGACCCTCCCTCTGTTTGACCATCGTGTTCCCTCCCAGACTTGCTGACACAATTCTCAAGTACTGACTTAGTTAATGCCAAAAATCTGCTGTCTGTTTGAACGCAAAGCCTCTCTGGAATCAAAGCATCTACGGAGATCTTTGATCAAGAACCAATCTGCAATTAACTTTCAGGCCTGACCTCACAAAAAAATGTTTGTTCTCTTTTTTTAAACAAGCAGTTGTTTACAGTCCAACGGTCACCTCGCAGCTCACAGTTACCACACCAAACCAAAATTTATAAACAGCAGTAACATAATTGTCAGGAGCTATTGTGCAAAGTGAATATTTTTAACTTATCAGATGCCTGAAATGACCGGTGGGTTACTGGAAAGAAATTCTCAGTTAAATGTAACCTGTAAACTGTATTGTCACAGAGATAAGTCTGTAATGCGTTGGCACATCAATGGGTACTCATTTGGAAATATTAACAGTCCAAATGACAGGAACAAATGGACTAACAATAACTTTGTTGAAATATTAATTAATAAATATTTGTAAACATACCTCAAATAGAAAGCTGCAGTTCAATTTCATGAAATCCCCGCGGTCAAATTCCTACTGTAACTACTTGTTACTTAGCTTTGCTTCTTACAAAAATATATCAGCATTACACACAATTCCCAAACCTCTGCATCATGGTCTAAAATGTCAAACACTGAAGAAAGAAGGCAATATGAAACTATTTGGAAATTCTTGGCATGCATTTAAGAGACAGATCAGTATACATTCTCAAGCTGTCACGATAAGGACAGATAATTCATTATGAACAAAATTTCAACAGCTCTCCAGGACTAAAAAGTAGACATTTATGTTCTCTGTTGCTTTCTTGTGGTTTAACATTCAAGAAGCTCTTTTTAATCTACATTTCCAAACAAAAGAAAATATAAAACTTAATTTAAATCTAAACTACTCTATGTATTGTTTGCATTTATACAAACATACAGCAAACCACATTAGGGCAATTTAAATAACAAGTAGCAATAAATAAATAAATAAATTCTGTTTGGAATCTATTATAATTTTCTCTGAGAGTTTCAATATATATGCTAAAGCTACATAAAACTAAACAACCTAGACAGTCTGCTACTATTCCAGTCTTTCACTCACTTCTATAATGTTCCCATGTCTATGATAAACAATAGGCGTTCTCCAAAGCAAAAGATGTATCATCTTGGAGATAACAGTAGAACCTGAACAACGCAGTGCCTGTGCAAGGCATCCTCTATTCTTAAATTTCAAGAATCACAAGCCTGATCATGGCTGTGGTGACATCCTAGAATGGGTATAAAATATATTTTACAGAACAGGATTGAAATCTTTGTAGGAAAACAATTTCTGTCAGGCCAGGTTGAAAGTGGATCAAAGCAGATAATTCTGAACTAACTAAAAAGAAAAAGTGAATTCCAAATTTATACCTACATTTCCTGCATCTGAAATATATTAAAATAAAATCCTGGACTTACAACATAGCTGACGCTCATCAGATCCATCATCACAATCTTCTTCATCATCACAGACCCAACTCTGAGAAATACATTCCCCATCTCCCTCACATTGGAACTGTCCCAGTGCACAGGTAGGTGCAGCTAAAATCAAAATAAATACAGTATTGGTAAAGTGAAGATAAAAGGAATTTTTTAAAATTAGTAATACTATATATACAGTTCGAAGTGTTAGATTTCAACATCTCGAATGTACGGAACTAGAGACTTTGTCCAAGAAAATCTTGTCCATGACTGCAGTTAAGAGACAATTGTGCCACTATCCCAAAAGGTTTAGGGAGTTAGTAAATTGCTAAAAAAAGCATTGGATCTCAAGATATAGATTTGATTGGTTCTTTAAGCCCAACAATAATGACATTTTATAATGTGAAAACTGTTAATAGTATTCTTACATATTCCAACGTCCTAACAAACTAAAACAATGTTAAAAATAAAAGCAGCTATAGTATGTTTTGAGAACTGAGGTTCAGAAATAATCAGCTACACAATTTAAGGGTCAACAATTTTATTCCATGACCTATTAATTTACATTTAAATTCTCATGTAACAAAGCAAGTAACAAAAGGGGACTCAAAATGGAGCTCAATAAATAATTGAGCCTTTAAAGTGCAGGAATAGATCTGTGATCTGCATTAACTTATCCAGTCTCAATCAGGTGTCAGTATGGTTACCTTCCTGATTGCAATCCCACAACCTTTGATGAATGACACAGCATACACATCAAATTAGGAGAGAATGACTTAGCTGCTTTCTCTCAAACAATCAAATACCTTAATTAAAATCGCCATATAAAATTAAAATAAATATTGTCAACTTGGTTGATGTACAAAAGGAAAATTGTTGTTCATTGTACTTCAGCTCAAAAACAAGAACAGGACCATTCCAGTCATGAATGGTATTGGATTAATAAATATCTAACAGGAGGATAAAGCTCGATCAACTGCTCCAGGACCGAAAATTAGAAGTGTGGGTAGCTATTTTTAAAAGGTCAGACTAAAAAGCCTGGAATTCTATAGACTGTACACATCCAATAAAAAAAACAAAAATCAGTGCCTAGTTGTTTTTGTATTGCCAACCTGTTGAACATTGGTCAACTGTCAGGCAGCTATACCCTGCTTTCTTACTGTAGGAGTCAACCTACATCTATACACCAGGGTGGGGCCAAAGGAACCTTTGGCCTTGGGGTCCCTACCACAATAAGATTTCATTGTACACTGCTGGCCCTGCAAGGATAATATAGAGATTCTGCAGAAAATGCCAAAAAAAAAAAAGAGCTGGAAAGACAAAGTCATAGTCAATTTGTGGATGTTTCATCAACCATGGCCAGAATTGCAGTGACAGCACACTCAAGGAGGGCTGCAGACTTTTTGCTGTATTATCCACAACAGCCTAAGGTGGAACATTTGATGTGAGGCTGTTTTATTATGGGCTGTTGTCTCAGAAAAGAATTCAGGCAACAAATTACTCCCCCGAAATAATTCTTTTATTCTTTCCTATGACCTGGATTTCAGCATTTGTTGCCCATCCCTTATTACCATTAAACTGTGTGAAGAGCTTGGTCATTTCAGAGGATAGTCAAGAGTCAATCACATTGCTGTGAGTCTACAGTCACACGTAACCCAGACTGGATGAGAATAACAGATTTCCTTCTCTGAAGGACACATTAAGGGATGGTGCAATTCAAAAGCATTTGAACACCTCAATGAAAATTATTCCATAGAACTATATTTTAAATATTGCACTATTCAATATATTGATAGAGATTAAAAGAGGTCAAAGATTACTGAGTAAATGGGGGATAACATGTTGGATAAAATAACTCTGAATAGTCGTGCCTTCTGTATTAATCTCAAGTTGTTATGTGAGTGTCAACTGGAGACCATTGTCACAATGAAGGTGTGATTAGTATATATAATCACTAGGATTTGTCAGATCCCACTTTACTTACGGCACTCCGATTCATCAGAATCATCACTACAGTCAACAATAGCATCACACTTCCAGATTGCAGGAACGCACTGGCCATTTTGACAGCGAAACTGGTCTGCTGTACAATCTGTAATCCAAGATCAAGATATTAGAAAATTGCATTTGTCCCTTTTTATAATTGAGTAGTGCATACCTGCATTACGTGTTGCAGGTATTTATTTTGAGTAGTATCATACGGATGTATGTTAGTTTTATTGTTTAATAGAGATTGCATGGTACTGTCGTGGTGTAGTATTGCATCAGCAAGTAACTCAAAATGAATTAGTGCTTTTGATTTGGTTGGTGTTCTTATGTGAAAAAAAGACAAGCTGGCTAGACGGATACAAAACTGGCTTAATCATAGAAGGGCAGAAGTCACATGATGTCACGTTATAGTCCAACAGGTTTATTTGAAATCACAAGCTTTCAAAATGCTGCTCCTTTGTCAGGTGAAGGAGCCTCAGCTGATAAAGGAGTAGCACTCTGAAAAGCGTGTGATTTTAAATAAACCTGTTGGACTATAACCTGGTGTCGTGTAACTTCTGACCCCATCCACGCCAGTCCAACACTGGCACCTCCACATCTTAGTCATAGAAGACAGAGAGTAGCGGTGAAAGGTGCTTTTCATAATGGAGATCAGTGACTAGTGGTGTTCCACAGGGATCAGTGCTGGGACTTTTGTTGTTAGTAATAGAAATAAATGATCTGAAGGAAATGTAGATGGTCTGATCACTAAGTTTGTGGATGACACCAAATTGGCAGAGTTCCAGATCATGAAGAGGATTGTCAAAGGATACAGCGGGATATAGATAGATCACAGATTTAGGCAGAGAAATGACAGATGTAGTTTAATCTAGCCAAATGCAAGGTGATGCGTTTTGGAAGATCAAAATCAGGTGTGAATTAAATGATAAATGATGGAACCCTTAGGAGCTTTAACATACAGAGGGATCCGGGCATACGGGTATACAGATCCCTGAAACTGGCAATACAGGTGGATGAGGTGGTCAAGAAGGCATACAGCACGCTTACCTTCATCAGCCAGGGCACTGAATATAAAAGTTGGAAAATAATGTTACAGCTAGACAAAACTTTAGTTAGGCCACATTTGTACAACTGCGTGCAGTTCTCGTCGCCACACTACTAGAAGGATGTGGATGCTTTGGAAAGAGTACAGAGAAGGTTTACCAGGATGTTAGAGACAGAAAAACTGCAGATGCTGGAATCCAAGGTAAACAGGAGGCTGGAAGAACACAGCATCTGGAGGAAAGGAGCAGTCAATGTTTCGGGTATTACCTTTCTGGTCTGCCTGGTCTGAAGGGTTTTATTTATGAGGAGAGGTTGGATAAACTCAGATTGTTTTTACTGGTAAGACAAAGGCTGAAGGATGACTTGATAGAGGTCTACAAAATTTTGAGAGGTATAGATAGGGTGGATAGTCAGAGGCTTTTTCCCAGAATGGTAAGGCCAACTACAAGAGGGCACAGATTCAAGGTGAGAGGGGGAAAATTTAGGGGAAGTGCAGGGAAACTTTTTCCACACACAGGATGGTAGGTGCCTGGAATGCACTACCAGTGAAGGTTGAGAAAGCAGGCATATTGGCAATGTTTAAGGCACATCAGGATAGACACATGAAGGAGAGATGAACAGAGAGAACAAAATCACATGTGGGCAATAAGCAGTGGGTCCAAATAAGGACTGGGAATTGGCAAATTGGGAATTGGTGGGCCAAAGGGCCTGTTCCTGTGCTGTGTTGTATTGTATTGCATTGTAAAGTGAGAAGTATTATTCTGACAGGCAAGAGTTTGTGGAGGTGAGCGTCTTGGGACTCAGGTGATCCTCGTCTAATGAATCTAAATGCTGTGACGTATCTGTTGCTGGCTCGGCTATTTGTTTTGCTGCACTGCATGAAGTCTTTCCGACATGATACCCACATTTAGAGCAAATTTATGCAACACTTCTAGTACTGGATGCTAGTTCTACATAATTGAGCAGCAAAACAACATAAATTTATCCAGTAAAGGTGTAAGAAATGGTGGCATATACCTGTTCATAAAGGCTGGTGAAGCCTGATGACAGTCTTCACCACTTGGGCACCCAAATCCTCCACAGCAACTATCTCAGCATCAATAGTAAAAACTAAAGCTATATGAAGCAGGAAAGGCTAGCACTGAAGTTCAGCAGGTAATAGGGAAGGCAAGGATTTACATGGATTTGGAAAGGCAAGGACTGATTAGGGATAGCCAACATGGCTTTGTGTGTGGGAAATGATGTCTCATAACTTGATTGAGTTTTTTGAAGAAGCATCAAAGAAGACTGATGAAAGCAGAGCAGTAAACATTGTCTACATGGACTTCAGAAAGGCATTCAACAAGGTTCCACATGGCAGACTGGTTAGCAAGGTTAGATCACATGGAATACAGGGACAGCTGGCCATTTGAACACAGAACTGGCTCAAAAATGGGAGACAGAGGGTGGTGGTGGAGAGTTGCTTTTTGGATTGGAGGCCTGTGACCAATAGTGTGTTGCAAGGATCAATGCTGGGTCCACTGTTTTTTGACATTTATTTAAATGATTTGGATGTGAATATAGAGAGTATCGTTAGTAAGTTTGCAGATGACAACAAAATTGGTGGTGTAGTGGACAGTGAAGAAGGTTACCTCAGAGTACAATGGGACCTTGATCAGATGGGCCAATGGGCTGAGGAGTGGATGAGGAAGTTTAATTTAGATAAATACGAGGTCCAGCATTTTGATAAGGCAAATCAGGGGAGGACTTATACATTTCATGGTAAGGTCCTGAGGAGTATTGCTAAACAAAGAGACCTCGAAGTGCAGGTTCATAGTTGCTTGAAAGTGGAATCACACGTAGACAAAGGAATGAAGAATGCGTCTTGTGAAACTTGGGGTTCAGAAAAGATTTACAAGGATGTTGCCAGGGTTGGAGATTTTGAGTTTTTGAGAGAGGCTGAATAGGCTGGGGCTGTTTTTCCTGGAGCATCAGAGGCTTTAGGTTTATAAAATCATGAGGGGCATGGATAGGGTGAATAGCCAAGGTCTTTTCATCAGGGTAGGGGAGTACAAAACTAGAGGGCACTGGTTTGAGATGAAGGGGGAAAAATTAAAAAGGGACCTAAGGGTGACCTTTTCATGCAGAGGGTGGTGCATCTATGGAATGATCTGCAAGAGGAAGTGGTGGAGGTTGGTAAAATAACAACATTTAAAAGACTTCTGGATGGGTATATGAATTAGGAGGGGTTTAGAGGGATATGGGCCAAATGCTGGCAAATGGGACTAGATTAATCTAGGATATCTGGTCAGCATGGACAAGTTGGACTGAAGAATCTGTTTCCGTGCTGTACATCTCTATGACTCCAAATGGGTTACTGGCCTTTCCTTCAAAAGGAATAGAGATTAAAAAATAGGGAAGCCTTGCTAACGCTGTAGAAGGCACGAATTAGAACACAGCTTTGGTTCCCTTATTTAAACTGGCACTGGACAGAGTCAGGAAAAGGTTTATGAGGTTGATCCTGCATCTGAAGGGATTTTCTTATGAGGAGAGGTTGAGGAGGTTGAGCCTACACCAATTGGAGTTTAAAAGAAAGAGTGAGAGCCTTACTGAAGCACACAAATTGTTAGGGGGCTTGTTAGGGTAGATGCAGAAAGGTTGTTTCCAAAAGTGGTGGGGGAGGGTGGGGGTGGTTGGTGGTCTAAGACCAAAGGCATAATCTCAGAATAAGGGATTGCACTTTTGAGATATAGAGAGGAGGACTATCTTCTCGCAGAGGGTAGTATTTCTGTGGTATTCTTTACTGCAGAGGGCTGTCAAGGCTGGGTTATTGGTATGGTCAAGGCTAGCACTGACAGATTTTTAATCAGTAAGGGAATCAAAAGTTACAGGAAAAAGGCAGAAAAGTTGAGTTGAAGATGACCAGATCAGCTCGATTGTTATTGAATGGTGGCTCAGACTTGATGGGCCGACTGGCCTCCTTCTGATCCGACATCTTATGGTCTGTCTTTAGGACCTCAAGACCTCTGCTAATTGTTGGGACTGCAGTGCATAAATGTCACTTTTCCTTGTGCCACAGGCATGGTAGCGGACTCTGCCAATTGCCTTGCTGCCCATTGCAGAATTTCAAAGAATTTCAACATTGCTTTCATGTGAATTTGAGGTTTTGGAAAGACATTTTTTAAACAAATTTTTCAAACAAACGTGATAAGGATCTTATATTCTTCAACCCAAATTCAATTTCTCTAAGCGCATGAATCTATGTGAGTGCTCGCCTCATATTAAAAGTTTGCTTGGATAACGTGGTGACATGAGAGAGTGGGAAACTGACAGATGGTGCTGGTTATGACAATATCATCATTATGGCTCTCTACATGCCAGCATAATACAAGCAATTAATGAGCAGCCAGAGGTCCACTGGTCCATGAATAGACAACAGTGTGAGGTGCTTTATGTGTCACTTCCAGGCACAATTGTTGCAGAGTGCAGACAGTCGATAGGACAGCAGGTACAAGTGCTAGCAATAGGTCAATGCTGTGTTCAGCAGTTGCATGTGAAATGGAGGCAGCCAAGGATTTGCAGCAGCTTTTATGGCTTTGCACCATATTGGGCCAATTTTGCCACAGTTAAAATTTCTTGCCCATTACATACAGTCAAAGAAAAATCCACAACTCAAATAACAACAATTAGAGATAACTTCATCAGTGCACTTCCCCAGTAATGATTTTGGAGTCAGACCGGTTTCCGATACTGCAGAACCATCAGGCTTGCTAGGCTCATCTCTATCACAAACCAGCCTCCCTAACACAAATAACACAAGCACCACCATAATAGAGGCAGAATCACAATGTTAGGAGAATTCATGGCACCTAATTTCCGCCTTGAGGTCAAAAATCTGACCCACCGTAATTTTTGAAATAAATGCACAGTAATGAAAGTTGGCTACCAATTACGTTGAGGTACACTTCAATCGAAATGTTAACATGCAAACTGTAAAGGAGATGACTGATTGTGAATATATCAAAATGTTATCACTCCCTAATACGGTGAAAGCAGAGAAGAATTACTTGCAGAGAAAGC